GAAATTCACTACATTTTCATTCAGATCCACTACGTTTCCCATCACAAATCTCGAAATTGTCAATAAAAGAAAAAAAAAAATAAATAAAGCGAAGATTCACGACACATTCTATTTCACCCTAATCATCCCTATTCCTCTACATACACGCATTACACTCGTTGCAATCCGAAGACAGGCAACGTCGTAATCGAAGATAGGGTTAAAAGATCCCTGCACGAGTGCAGTATGCACATGTTGCATGTGAAGAAAAGAGAGAGAGAGAAGTGCAGTCTCGGTCGTGGGACGCGAAATGCGGCCGGATGTTTGTCGCACGCCCAATCAGCACCAATTCAAGCTTCTCTCGTAAGGCTGGCCTTACGTCGGCGCTAAGCTACAGACGCATGTCGCCGTCCCTTCCACAACGAGAGCCACGCGCCTTTCGCATGACGCATCTTTCTCTGCCAGCTGGAGGAAATCGCTCCGCCCCGAGATCATTATCTCGGCAATAATTCTAGTGATCTAACCTCGGACCACGTTGAAGACACGAAGAATCGATTTGCACGAGAGAAAAGTGCAGTTTCATTCAGAAAAGGGTGAATTTGCATGTTTTAGGCGCATCGTTGCACTTGTGACAAAAGTGAAGTCGTGAGCAAGGAGAGGTTTTTCCTCCACAACTTCCTTCCATCTCTAATCGAACTCGAGTTATGGCTTCTATCGTTAACAGAAAAATGTTCGTCAAAAATTCAGATATTCCAGCAGAAGTTTGGCAATAACTTCGGCATTTTGTAACACTTCTGCTTTTAAAAAATTGGAGAAAGCAGCTGAAAGTTGTATTTACGTCCTCCGAAAAAATTGAAGCTTCACATTTACCAGTTACCTACGAAAAAAATTCCCAAACCTCTCCCTTTATTCACACGCATAAGAGCAGTGTATTCCCAATAAAAAATGTTTATCAAAAAGATAGACTTGAGCTACTTCAACCCTCTAAGCACAAGCGCAGATTCGTCACCAGCGTCCCAAAGCAAAATCTTAGCTAATCGTAGCAGCACACACGGCAGAGAGGACGAAACAAAACGATACGTAAACGGTGCAACGTGATCGTTTGCAAATATTGCACGACGCGTAATTAACTTCAAAGGCCGAGCCGTGTGCTCGTCGCGCGCTATATTACAGCGCAATTAAGATATGGGTCCCCGAGGAAACCGCGCAGTCAAGTAACTGCCAGCAACAATTTCGCGTTACGTAATTACGCCGCCACGAAATAACAGAGAGAGAATTTCCAGAGAGAGTGAGAGGGTCAAAATGCCAGGCAATCGCTGGCCCGCTGCCTTCAGGTTATCCAAAGCGAGATTGGGTCCATATCGAGGCGAGACGAGCCCGTTCGGCCCGTGGGGTTATTCGTCTTCTTGAATTAACTGTGCAACTAGCCAGAGGAGGCCAAGGGACGGGGCGGTCGTGGCTGAGGATTGAGGAACATTCGGGGGTGAACGCGGGTTGGATTTTAGGGAACGTTTGTAGAGGATTCTGTGGAGATTGGGCGATAGCGAGATGTTCTGTGTTGAGAATGAAAAGCAATTTGGATTCTGGGGAGATCGCTGATGGAATTCTTTTTTTAATTAAGTTCGAATTTTAGTCGGGGATCTTTTTTAATGCATAGAAAATTGACGAATTATCGAATATTTAAATTTTGGGGAACGTTGATACAGGATTCGTTATCATTCGTTGATAGACATTTCTTTTTTAATAACGTTCCAATTTAATTTGGGGATCTGTGTCACTTGTAACATAAAAATTCACCAATTATCAAATACTTCAATTTTGGAGAACGTTGATACACAAGATTCATCTTGGATCTTGGGAAGGTCGATGATAGAAATTTCATTTTTAATAAAGTTCCAATTTTAGTCGGGGATCTATGTCACTTGCAATTGACGAATTATCGAATACTCAGATTTTGGGGAACGTTGATACAAGATTTATCTTGGATTCCGGGGAGATCGATGATAGAAATTTCATTTTTAACAAAGGTCAAATTTTATTTATGGATCTACGCCACTTGCAACCACTCTTACTAAAAGAACTGATTAAACTGACTCGTAGAATAGAATAGTCAAGGTTGAGAGATACGAATGAGTTATCGAGCATTGTATGCAAACGTTTAGCAGAATTAGTTACAATTTTTTCATATTTTTTCTTCATTGTCCCACATGCTGAGAAATTACATCCGGTATTCTGATCAGCGAGGAAAAATGACACGTTTGTTAATAGTGGAGTGGCAAAATGGGTATTGTCACGAAATCTTGAATTATTATTCAAGTAATTAACCTCAAGCTTTGGGAAGACGACGAGTTCAAGTGCTGCAATTATTCCACGATCGATAATTATTTAGCTAATTAAACTTCAGATGGAATTAGGCAATCTTAATTCATCGTTTAAATAGCTGAACTGAACTTTTGACAAATTAAAATCCAGTAATTGTTCCACCTCCTTCAATTACTACATTACCGATGAAATTTTCATTTTCTCTATATCAAAAAAAAAAACGTACGATCTCTCTGAACAAACTTTCGCTTAAAATCACAAATTAACCAAATATCACGTTTCAACATTTACCCACCAAAATTGCTCTCTTTTCTTTAAACGTCGCATCCTATCAAATCTAATACAAATTCCTCACCGTACCTAAAAAAAATCCACGCTGTCTGAATTATCTCTCGTTCAGAGATTCCAAATCGTCCGTCGAAAAAGTGAACATTCGCGCCGGAAATAATTCCTTCAAATCTAATCTGAAATCATTCCTCGCGAGATAAAAAGGCAAAACACACCAGGAGAGCTGGAGTATGGTAGGTCGATTCGTGTCGCCCGCGATTTTCGATTCCGTTATCGCTGGAATAAATCGTTCCCGGGCAATTAGCGAAAGTCTTTGTTACGTCTCCCATTCATTACGCGTAATAGCTAGTTCTGTGCGTGGCGAACGGTATTTATTGCCCGCGGTCATGAAATTCTCTGCTCGGATCAGCCGTTCTAGATATTCGCGACATTTTTCACGTCGAAAAATCTCTCAAGTTTGCTCCACTTTATTCCTCGCTACTCTTACAGCACGGTACGAAATCAGTGGAAAATTCAACGTTGATTCGTAATTTATTCTTGTTAAAAAAATTCTTCTTTTCGCCTCTGTTTCTTCGATCGTTAATTTTTATCACCATTTTTTTCTTGTGCTTGTGAAGGAGATATTGGAAGTTTCTCGCGAAGAACGTGTTTTTCGTTGATTTTATGGGGGGAAAAGAATTGTCGTCTGGACGGTTTTAATCGAAACGTCGAACCACGCGTTCGACTTACAAAGAGTTCATTTCTCGGATGATTTCGAGGGACGAGAAGAGCCGTAACGGGGCTAAAACGATACGCGTGACGTCAACCAGCGAGCAATTTGCTTGCAAATAAGCGAAAGCTCGCGTGTTTATGGATTTGTCGCTTGGCTCTCCCGTGGCACGATCAATTAGACGGCCGATTTCAATGGAATTCTTGCGATTAAATTTGCCCACCGCGCTTTCATCCCGTAGCGCAAACCCATTCGAAATTCCCCCGTTTCACGGTCCTCCTCTTTGATCAACGCGAAACGGCTATTGATTCAGCGTTGTTTCTTTCCTCCTTTGTGCAACTTCGCTCGAATGACGCTTCAAGTTTTCGGAATTCCTGGTTTGCCGAAAGTTTATCCAACCCTAATTTCTCCTCCTCGAAATAAAATTGCTCCGTGTTAAAGATTTCTATCAGCTGAGAGTTAGTTACTTCTTCGCTCGGAATTTAGCATGATTTAAATCTCTGTTTATTCGAAATGTTTTAGAAACCAAGTTAACAGTATAGACTTTTGTTAGCACAACTGAAGTGAATTTAACACAGGATAGGGTATTAACCAGAAATGTATTAAAGTGTAGTGATAAGCGGCTGCTACAGTGCTTCGGTGTCCGTCTCGCTCGACGGCTATTTCCAGAGTGTCCCCTCCGCGTCGTATCACGCGTTGCTCCGAAAAACCGTTGGAGCCCCATCGTTCGACTTTCCGGGGAAAGGGCTTAGTTTATGGCACCCTCAGGTACCCGCGCGCTTTCTCTTCCTGGGTGACAAAGTCCAGGCCACCACTTTGCCGCCGAAATCTCGCATTTCTTACACTTTTATACATGAAAATTCTCTTTGAAGACGTACACTGTGATACAATTTAAGATATAGTCGGGGCCACGATATAGCGAGGTCGTAAAATCGGTCAGACGTCAAAGTAAACATGTTTTAGCTGCCGGGACCCGAAAATTGACAGAGATACGAGCAGATAAGTACTTGAAACCATGGTCAGGACCGTACAAAGAATTCTTGTATCCAGCGAAAGTCAACTGATTCTAATATATTTACTGAAAACTGCATGCAGCTAGGACAAATTAGGGTTTCTCCCTCTGGGGGAAGCCGCTTTTGGAAGTACGGTTACAGGTAAAGGTCTTATTGATGTCTTTAGCATCTTAGTTTATCTACTCGTGTTATATACAGATAGAAAGTGCAAAAAGATTGTGTAGCTTAATATTAACATATTTTCCATTTGTAAATGAAATACCATTTTCTACTTGAAGTACCAAATCATATGCTACCATTCTCAAAATTAGCACCACACACCGATAAAAATAAACTCAGAAATTTTGTTGAAGATGTCGATCATTTCACAATCTCAAAGTTAGCACCACACACCGATAAAAATAAACTCAGAAATTTTGTTGAAGATGTCGATCATTTCACAATCACTAATTACGTTTGTTTTGCATTCAGTGACTGTCCTAATACTCAAAAATCGAAGTGTAACTCAATATTCAGAATGATTCTTCTATACTAGCCTGGCCAATAAATTTTCCTTAATTTTCTCAGAAATTTGCCTAATAATTTCTATATCTTGCAATATACCGTGCAAACCTAACTAGGACCTGAATCATTTCCTACACTTGTAGAGAAAAATTGCAAAAATGAAAAAAAAAATAGTGGAAACTCACCTGGACAGTGGGCTGCTGATGATATAATGCGTATAATAGAATATACTGGCGACGGAGACGAGCAGCAGCGCCGCGACGCATCGTTTCACCGTGGCCTGCTTGACGACGCAGTGCGGACCGACGGCGCTTAATAAAGGTACGCCAGCCTCGACCGCGGAAATCTTCATCACCATCGTCTCATCCGACGAGGTACGTTATCGCTCAGATTAGCCCTGTAACGGTCCTCCTCCTCTCACCCCGTGGAAACGTGAAAACGGATCGTGTCGCATCCACGCTGACAATCCTCTTTCTCTTTTTTCGCCGGGCATCGGCTCTGCTCATGCTCGTCCACGATCTTCCCCCGTTAGATAACCTCGCCTACGTGGCCCAATTTCAAACTGAGAATCGTCCTCTTCGGTCGAAAATTAACAAGGAACCCCGAGAATTCGATCTCCACGAAATTCCCACCTAGAGAACAATTTTTTCTTTTCCAAATGACAGAAGATCTATCCTTTCAGCTAGACTCGTCTTCGACTTTTAGGATCGAATCCGTGTGTCTTTGTCTCTCTCTCTCTCTCTCTCTGTTGAAGGAATTTTTCGGAACAACGTAACAGAGATAATTTATTAAATATTCTGGATATAGTTCTCTCTCTCTCTCTCTCTCTCTCTCTCTCGTTCGTTTCTGCTTCGAGATCACTTTCCGCGATCCTCAGATCGAACGCGACGGGTCCAGGATCGAATCGACCTGGCCGTCTGTCGGATAACATCGATGATAGCTCACGGATAAGGAGCAGATCGCCACTTGTTGCGTTTCCACGAGGGCAGCACGATCACCATTTTGCGAGCAGCACGGGGTCGCGCCGTCCATCGCGATCGTTTTTAACCCATTTGGCCCTGGATTTGCCGATGGATCCACCTCCGACCTCTCAGCAATCTGTACCTCGAATCCTCGACATCTCTTCTTCACTTGTTACTCGAAGATCAAGGAACCTCGTCGGAGTTGTGATCCAACGAGACCATATCGTGATTTCCAACGAAGACGATTATTCCAATTCTACGCAGAGTTTCCACGATTGAAGAACGGTGCACTTGGTGCACGTGGAACGATCGTAAAGGTGTGGAGATTCGGGGGGAGAAAAGTGACGACTTTTCAAGACTGGACTTGAACGTCCGCGAAATCCAGCCTCTTGCTTCCGGTGTCGTGGTACAGTAAGCTGGTTTTACGGCCGTACCATTTGTTACGGGGCCAAGATACTAGAGCTCGCCTCCTAGACGCGTGAGCAAACTTGCTCACTCGTAAATTTCGATGTCTCCCTCTCCTCTTCTCTTTGCCCCTTCAGCTTTGTGTTTGCTTCCACCTCGCTGTGTCGTGTCCTGCTCTCTCTCTCGCTCTCTCTCTCTCGTTCTTTCCACCTGTCAATTAGGGACGATGGAAAGCAACGATGCTTCCTGGCCAGAACGATTTTCGAGCGTTATCCTATCGCCTGGATCGATCTCGTCCGTGCACCGTTCGCCTGGATCCCCCGGCTCACGAGTCTGAAACAGTCAACGTGGAATGTCCATTGAACGGCCGGTGAAAAATAAACGGGGTGATATTGTTGAGAGAGGATCGATAGGCAGTGTCCCGAGACGATACTTTTTCTCTCTATTGTGAAAATCGTGCGGTGTACAAATAACGATCTGTGGTGTTAGGTGAAAATGTTTTGGGACCACTGTGCGTTGCAAGGTAGACAGGAATTTTGCAAAAAAAAGGTTAGTAATTTTAAGGAATTTTGTTTTTGGTATTAAAGTTGCTGCTGAGCTCTAAAAGATCCGGGTAAATTTGTAAAAAATACCTGGTAGGTTTGGAACCACTGTGCATCGCAAGTTAGACAAGAATTTTGCAAGAAGAAATTAGCAATTTTAAGGAATATTTTTTGTACTCAAATTGCTATTGAGCTCTGCATAATTGGGGTAAATTTGAGAAAAGTTGCTGCTAGGTTCGAGACCACTGTGCATTGGAAGGTAGGCAAGAATTTTGCAAAAATATGTTAGCGACTTTAAGGAATATTGAAAGAATTGTTTTTTGGTACTCAAATTTTTGTCGAGCTCTGCAAAATTAGGGTTGAATTTATAAAAAATTGTCGGTAGACCTAATATTCGTGAGAATCTGCAAGTGGTCTCTATTGATCAACGGTTAATATCGTTCTTGCGTAGATTATTTCCAGCTTTCGAAAAGTTATTAGGGTGTAAATGATTGTTCGGTCAATATTGGCTCGCACTATATGCGCTTCACAATTGCAGCTTTGAGCCTGTGTATCCGATAGAATTTTCCAGTAGAGATACTGTTTACGGTAGATGCGGTATATCATTCGACTATTTACAGTTCGCAATTGCAGCTCTGATCTTCTGTATCTGACACAATTTTATAGAGAAGATATCGACAAACTAAGCGTGGTATCACTCGTCGATCAAAGAAATTATGTCAGAACTTTAATTCCCACGTCGTTCGTTAATTCACAGAGAAACTCTCGCAAAACAAACAACTTATTTCCCACAGTACCGCGACAAACTGCGCAAAACACTCTCCGCGCTCCCCTAATAAAGCATCGAAAAGGGCAATGCAAAAATCGCCCAGACCCGTACATAATCGAGCGACCTATCTGGCAGCGATAGGCAACCCCGAAGACCGCCATCAAAAAACGATTAAACAACGGCAACAAGCGGACGATCGGGACGCTCGACAACTCTAATTAATCGATCGTACTTCCGCGGCACGGCGTTGCAATTCCACCTCCACCCTTCGTCTCTCTTTCTCCCTAATTTTTCCCCGTCGCTTGTACATCTGTCGCAGCAAGAAGTGCATTAATCAACCATCCAACGTTCGCCCCGCAACCATACTAAACCTTTGTGCTGGACCGCGTGCCTCTCTGTATCTGTATCGTTTCAAAGGAACTGTTACCATCCCCTCCTTCAACTTCCTTCGTCCGAAGAGACGCAGAGAGGCATTGGGAAGGATTTGGAGAAAACAGCAAGGAAATAAATTGAAAATGATCCAGGGTAGAATGGGTGACAGGGATGGAGAAGAGCAGAATCGACGGCGAGAAGGTTCTTTCTCTCTTTCTCGAGAGAAGAAGGATATCGGCCCTTCGTTCAGTGTGCTTCGAACGCGTCCCTCGGGAGCTGACCTAACATTTTTCCAGCTGAAGAATACCGACGCCTCTGGTGAAACGGCAAACGGAAGACGATCGTTCGAAAAGAGCCGTTCGCGACCGGCTGAACGCGGAATTTAATTACGCGATCTTCGATAGCGCGAACGGGGGACAGAGAAAGGTGTTTTAGGTGATATTTGAAAATGATTGATCGGACAGGTTTGATTCGATTGTTAGGCGAGATGGGGCAGAGGAAGCCGGAGAGAAATTGTGCCTGTAAGTATTTTCTTTTCTCGACTCCTTTCTGAGAGCAGCGAGGAGACGGAGTTCTTCTTTTGTGGAGAAATTTTTGCGATTTGATACGACGTGAGATGAAAGTTCCTGGATCTAGAAATATTTCATTTACTACTGAGATTTCTTTTGTAAAAGGTGGTCTAATGAACTTTACTCAAATCAGGATGTCGTGCAAAGTAGTTTATGTCGGACTCTTCGGCGTCCGTCTATTACCGAAGCTAAGAACCGACTCAAAGATATCGCTGGGCCGAACCGATGGGTACTCGGTGTTTGTCACTCGTCAAGAGGCGCAGGCCAAGCCGTAAACCGTCCCAAAAAGCCTACACTTTTATTTGATACATTTGTGGGATCAGAAATATAAATAGTAATAGTAATAACACACTGTCCCTTCATCCCTCGCACGCCATATGCTCGGCCTTCTC